GCCAGTCTGGTGTGGGCATCACATGTGTGCACACCCTAGATGGGCTGCATGTGCTGGGCCAGGGCCAGCACATGGTGCACGTGACAGGCAGCCCTGTGGGCTAGAGGATACAGCTCCACAGGTCCTATCTTTGACCCTCCTGGCATTAGTGTAATTCACTCACCCCACCTCTTCTAGCCAGCCCCTGCCATCACATGCCTGGTCCTCCCTGTCCGTGCACTGTAAGCAACGCAGCAATAGACTGCACAAAATAGCTGATAGCTCCAGGCCTTGTTGGTCTGTCTCGTGCCTTGTAGCAAGAGCTTTTTGGATACTTACTTTTTGCATTGCTTTTCCTCCTCTCCCAGACAGGAACAGGTAGCAGCCTCCTCCCTTCACATGCCATGGGAGCCTCTCCGCAGGGAAGCATCTGTCCTAGCTCGATATACATGGGCAGAAGTCCTAGTTCAGTGACCCAGTCTCCTTGCAAGCCAGTACGACTCATGGGATAAGGGGACTCAGTCAGATCCAGAGGAGCCTGAAAGTTAAGCAATGTGATGTATAACCTTCTAGTATCTGGCCCCAGAGTGAATGCAGACCCCGAGTGAGACCCTTAGCTCCCCACACAATGCAGGGGAAAGTTACCTGCAAGCTGCATGTGCAGCCACTAGAAATATAACACGAGGGAAAGCCTTCCACCCACCCCACAGGTACTTAGCTTTGGGCTGCAGGAAGATGATGATCCCGGCTCAGGGCCCTCCGCTTCTTGCACTCCTCCAGCATCTGACCCCGACCACAGGCTGCAGGAGTTTGCAGCTGCTCTTGGGGAAGCTCCAGCACTGCCTAGTCAATCTCAAATTCTTGGTGCAACACAAAGCAAGGATGTGCACTAGTGAGACCATGGCTATAGACTCCTGCTAAGGACTGAACTGGGGTGGGGAGGTCTTTGCTCCCAGAACTTCTTTTGGGTTTTATTCTAGGACTAGGCAGGAGGGAATTAATCCTACATTTCCTGCCTCCTGGAAGAGTGCACCAACACTGAGCTCCCAAATGACAAGGGGAAGGAGCCCCTCACAACACACCGTCAGGTGCATAAGCCAAAGTCTGTTTTCACTAACCAGTCCTGTCCTGACTCCATTCCTCACAGCTCATTAACGCATAAGGTGGTTGCTTAGGACCTGGAGGTAACCTTGGAGGTGAAGGACCCTTCCCCTCCATCAACTCGTCTTCCCTCTGCCTTGGGGTTGCCAAAGCAGGGCTTCCTTCAGGAGCTGGCCACCCAGACATCTCAGATGGCCAAGAGGATTCCACCTTCTCAACCATGCTCTTCATGCAGCTGCTCTACCTACCTCAACATGACTCGTCTGGCTATGCAGTGCAGGCATTCAAGCATGCAAAGGAAGTTAAACCAGTTGCAATGTGGACAGATGTGCTGCTTTTCCATGACTCCCGTGCACGCAGGCACGTGCTCAGTAGCAATGCCCTGAAGACTCCAGCTCAGTGTACATGCGCAGATAGTGACAGACATCCATACTGGGTTCAGCTTCGGAAAACCAGGGCTTGCCTCCCCCACTCATATGGTTACATTGCAAGTGGTGAGGCATCCAGCTATGCTTTAATAAGGGAGTGATCCAGCCAAGGACTCCAGGAGAAGGACAGTTGTGCATCTGGAGTGAATGGGCGTGCCTTCTGGTGGTGCTTACATCCTTTCTGCTCTCTGGGGCTGCAGACAACCTCATCCTCAGCATTTCCTCTTGGCTAGCAAAGGAGCTGCCCCACTGGGCATGCTGGCTTTCGTGGCTTCCTTTCCAAAGTGCCCAACTCTCCAGGCAGGCAGGGAACCCACCTGTGTATTCTGGTATGGGGGCAGGGTGCTGCAGTGCAGAGCATCACAGCGCCCAAGTCCCACTGTGGGTTTGAGGCTAAGTGACTTGCTTAAGGTCACACAGGAATCTGTGGCAGAGCAGGTGTGGAACTCAGCCCTCCCCAGCATTGAACCATCTGATCTCTCCGTATGCCTGAAGTTTCTTACTGAAACCGAAGAAACTACAACAAAGAACTGGCTCAAAGAGAATCATGAAAGGCCTCCTAAAAGTATACAGCTGCATAACACAGAGAAGCAAGCATATGCAATGGCGTGTTTATTCAGAACACCTTTAGCTTTAATTGCAATTATTTCAGTTTGAAGTTAAAATCAGGCAGCAATTGAGGAAACAAATAAAACCAAATAGTCCCTGGGTGCACAATCAATGCAGCTTTGAATAATACACATGATAAGTTTATTTCATATTAACATGAACAGTAAAAAGTGGGCATCTGATAGGGTGCGTGTCAGGTTCATAGTCTATTCCTCTATTGTGTCCTTTTTGCCAGTCTCTTGTCCCTCAAAGAGCGGATACTTGGCCTCCACATTGGCCCAAGTTATGCAGCCATTTGCCAGGTCACGGATTATGGTCGGAAGTTCAGAGACCTAAAGGAAGGGTGCAAGAGACAAGCTATGAGGCCGCTGAAATCAAATTGAGCCACACTGTAACCCTACAGGTACACCGACAATGACCAGTATGGTGACAGTACTTGACATTGTTACTACATAATATTGCCTGGATAATTACTGATTTCATTTTCCCCAAATGCTATTTTCTTTCCCAAATGCTAAGACCTCCATGTTACAGTTTCTAAGCAACAAGGCATCTTAATGCTGTATCACCATTCGTTCTAGCTCATGCTGAACTACTATGCAGCGCAACCCGTTAAAGAAATGCAGCCATCACTAAGGTGGAGCAGAGCTGGTACGCGGCAGTATCATGCCACAGGCTGGAATAGGTAGAGAACAAAACTTATCGAGATGAAGTGGCAAGTAGAGGGGTCTGGAGAGGCCCCATACGAGACAGCACTAGCACAGACCAGCTACTGGCTCAGGAACTGCTATTCCTTCCACAGAGATTGTGAGAGTATTCATCACAGAATTACAGAACTTCAGAAACCATTTACAGACCAGTAAAAGTGCTGGCTATTTACATCAGGCCCCAGTATAAATCCTACTGGAATCAACTGGAGGTTTCCCCCACAATGGCTACAATGAGCTTTGGATCAAGGCCCATCAGAAACATACGGTTCTGCCTGGACGGTATGCCAGTATTAACACTGGTAACACACACGGTGCTGCCAACTTCAGAAGTGAGAACTGGAGCCTCCTGTTTCTGCAACTCGCAGCCTCTCCCCACATCAGCTAGGGCACCCATGCTGGATCCCTTCCTCCACAGAAGTGTCAGATAATCGCTGAGCAAAGAGAGGGGGTAGAGGAGGGGGGATACTGCTCTTTATTATTTAATGTTTATCTGGACAGGTCACTGACAAGCTGCTTGTTGGCTTGAAGAGGACAGAGGAGCCAGATCTTGGGGAGGGCCTTGCAAATGCTCTGTTCACACAAGGAATGGCAGCAGATCTAACACTGAGCAGTCTTCCCTGTGAAGGACCTAACTGGAATGGGGGGCTGTGGGTCCAATCAGTGCTGCTAGCCCTATATCCCCCCCCAGTCAGGCTCTTTCGAGGCACAAAAGTGAGAATGGAGCTTTACAGCCTGCTGAAAACCTGCAGAGGGCTTAGCCAGTTGCATGTCAAGAGCGCACTGAACTACACAGACACCACGCTGCACATTCACATGCGAGGAGAAAGGTGCTGAGGAGGCCCACTCTACCGGACAGCCGTTAAGTTGGAGCTACGTTTTCCATGCAGCAGCCTTCAGCCATGTCCATACTCCAGCCTTCAGCTAGCACAGCCAGGTTGGTCAGGGATCACACCCTCTTCCCAGCTGGACTGATAGGCCAGGAGAAGCCGGTCAGTGGACACTGCACTTGTCCTAACACTGCCTTGTTTTACACCAGAGGAGTGATCTTCTAGTATGCAGCACACTAGGCAGACGTGGCCATTACACCACACCTGGTACCCCTAGGCTGCTACAGCACTTCTAGGGGTAATGCTACACCCAACACAGCATGCTCACATTACAGGCACCAGCTTCTTGCAGGTGCATAAATTGCTCCAGATCTCCCCTCTTTAGAAGGCAGCACTGGTCTCTCACTCCCACAAAAGCCTCTTCACTTGCCCGGTGGCGCTGTGTTTGGTTTGTACCCTTCTCCCTGTGAATTCTCCACCGAAAGCCCACTGCACCTCCCCAACAGACCCCTTACCCCCAGGAGCAGGAGGGATTTCTGCTCCCTTCCCATGCCAGCCCAGCCTTTACCTCAGCCCGTATCTGACGCATCGAGTCACGGTCTCTGAGTGTGGCCGTGTGAGGTGTCCTGTTAACCGTGTCGAAGTCGATCGTGATGCCGAAAGCCACGCCGATCTCGTCCGTCCTGGCATAGCGCCGGCCGATGGACCCTGAGGAGTCGTCCACTTTGTGGGAGATGCCGTTCCGGGTGAGTGCTTCAGCTGCAAGAACCAGGCGTTGCAGGGATTAGTGACAATCCTGGCAGGCTGGAGGATCCAAACGCAGAACCCCAGAGGCAAAGAGGGGGTTGCCACAAACAAAGCTGCCTCATTACTACAGCAGCAAGACAACCCTAATGCCATTTGACACTCTCCTCCTCGTGCCTGCTATTACTGCTCTTCCCACATCATCCATGCACTGATAGGGCCCCAGAATACCACCTGTACTTCTCTGAAGTTAGTCACAGTAATGCCAGTGGGGCTGCTCACATAAGCAAAGGGGAAGAATCTGGCCCAACTACCTCTCTCTCCAGCTGAGTCTTGTAAAGCATCTTGCATGTTTTTGGGTGTTATTAAATTAGCAGATAGCAACTGCAGGATGGCAGCTAGTGCTGAGATTGCTTTGACTCATGATGTCGAGTCTCACACCCAACAAGCACGCTACAGTGCAGATTAAGCACTGCACCCTGCATTTGTTCAGTCTCTTTATAAAGGAAAACACTAAAAAACAAAAACAAAAAAGGTCTCCTTAAGCTTGTCGTGAAGGTTTGCCTTCTTAACTGAAGAATAAGTTAACCTTGGTGTCTAAGGCTCACAGGGAAGTGGAAAACCAGCCTGCTCCTAACATGCTAGACTGCATTAGAGGCACCATCTGACCAAATCACAGCTGTTCCATGCTCACTGTGAACAACATGTTAGACATGCTGCTGGCAGCAGCAAAATGTTTCAATATGCCAAGGACTGTTTAGGGGCTAGAGATCAGGGCTGGGCATCAGGAGGTCTGGGTTTTTATGTTGAAGTGACATGACAAGTGAGTGGCAGAGATGAAAACAGAATCCAGGAGGCCTGGCTCCTTCCCTGCTTAGTAACAAACATGCACTGCCTGCTAGTTTTTCTGGGGCTGCGTGGGTTTTAACATGCAAGCAGTTAGCTTTTCCATTATGACTCATCATGGAGGAAAGCAGGGGAGCAGGTTTTGAGCCTAGGTTATGTCTATACAGCAGCTTTGCAAGATTGACCTAATTTCAGCTGCTGGAGATGTCTTAGGAAGAAGACAGACTGATGAAAGTGCAGGTGTTTCCGCTCCCTTCACTGCAGGCAACTGCTTGTTACACCATAAAAAAGACCCTCCGCTTTACCCCCATCAGTCTTTTTCCTGTGTTTTTAAAAAGGGAAGTCACCCCCATGATCGGAGTTTGAGAGAGAACGGCAGAGCTGTATTCACTTACAGAGTTCCTTGACAAAAGGGATGAATTCCTGATTTTGGCTCAGAGGAAGGACGGAGCACTTGAATGGTGAGACAACGGCAGGGAAGCTGAAGAACTACACACAGGGTAAAAATTCAAGACAATACAAAAGTTAATACATCAGCCATACTCTGAGCCACTCTTCACTGCTATCGGTCAGGATAATTTATGCCTGCAGACCGCTGAGACTTTTGTGAACCATTAAAACTTGACAGAGATGATCTTTACTTAAAACACCTCCAAGTGGAGGTGACGCGGGTCTCATACACTGCCCTTTACGTTGTTTCTTGTGGTTTAACACACAGCCTGCTGCATCCCAATACAGACTTGATGAAGGTAGGGAGCATGGCCGCAAAACAGCTAACTAACAAACTAAAACTGCATCTATCCATAAAGCAAGATACCAACCATTCAAAAGAGAGCAACAGGGACTGGATTTGATGGTGCAGGACTTTTCAGTCCTACACTCCCTCAGGATCAGGGACCTCACCAGCCCTCAGAGTGCTTGTTTCATCCCTGCACCCCTATTTTCCTCCTGCAGATGATATGGGATCCCAAACGTGTCCACAGGTGGCCTGTGAGAGTCTCTGAAGGTGCGGTCCATCATTTAGAAACGCTTCCCCCCACCCCAGACAACCACATGGAGGACTTGCATGGAAAACAGATGTGTTATTTTCAGATTCTTTAAGAACAATTTAGCAAATGGATACAAGAAACGCAAGTACAGCCAGGTTTCCAACCAGCTCTTCATGGGCCTGGCACCAGGACTTCTTCAGTCGGTTTGGGCATCAGTTACTTTACTATACACACAGACACGCTTCCCTCCTGCCACACCTCTAGAACGGTCTCGGGCCAAAGCCACGAGGATGCACACACACGGCAGTGAGAAGTTATGGCCAATAAAGGAGGACGAGGCCATAATACTGAAACGACTTCTATTTTCCCCAGAGGTGATGACTTGCCATGAGCCTGGAAAAATACCCACTGTACCCCAAAGCCTGGGGTCATAGACAAATGTACACCTGGAGCAATGTCATGTATATTTAGAAGCCTACAGCCAGCTGTTACACTGAAATGTGTGGCTACAGGGCCACGCACACCAAAAAAACCCACCCCAAAAACCAATCCAGCTTCGACCATGGATGAGGCAGGGTTAGAGCTGAACTTGTTTTGCTACGCTTGTATTGCTCCAGGCTCACATACGGAGAACAGCCAAGGCATAATGGCTGCTGTGCCAACAGCTCTCCCTTCCCGCTGCAGCCACTCCAAGCATACCTCTACCTGTGTGTTAAGTCTGCATAAGGCCACAGACAATTTTAAGGATTCAGCACATGTCCTGCCAGGGAGGAGCGGGTAACCACACCTGCTCCGCCCACCTTCTCCCACCTATTGCCTATTCTAACAGCATCATTTCAAATCTCACACACGTCTGCTGTCTGCACTTTGGACTCTCCAGTCCAGAGCAGGGTGCAAGCGGCAGAAAGAGCTCACCGTGCGCTGCTCGTCTCCTTCCCGGACGTGGAATGTATGTTCAAACACCGTGTACATGATCCTCCCAATGCCGAAGGAGGGTTCGATCACATTTGGGATGATTTCTTCCACTTGAAGAGAAACCGCAAAGCAGTCAGCAGAGCAGTTTATAAAAGCACAGTGTTTTTATCACTGCTGCATTTCTGCACAGGAGGCTGGGATTAATACAGCTGATCATATGAGAGAGAAAGGTTTTAAACATTTATGCTCCCTGAGGGAGCACCTGGAGACCAAGTTTTAGACTCTCTTTGTACTGAGTCCAGGGGTGGCGTATCTGTGTCTCATGATCGGAGCAGACAAATGGGAACAAGAAACTTCAGTTCTAACTTAAGCTCCATCAAGGAATCCCCTACCAACCTTGAGTAAATCGTTCAAACTCCCTCTCTCAGTGTCCCCCTATGTGACAAGCCAGAAAAAGTGGCCTAAAAATTAATATTTATACAGTCCATGAAGGTGACATTTACACTGCTGAAACTGCAGCTCCTTTCTGAGGTCTCAAGGCCAGATGCAGTCTTCGAAAGGGTCTCAGACATTTTGATGAACCGGCAGGGGTGCTCATGAGCACAGCCTGCAAGGGTACCTGTGCACAGATGGGGATGCTGCTCCAACACACTGTAATTAAAGCATGTCAGAGCAGACTCGATGAAGCAATTCTGCTGGAGCGTGCTAATTAGTGCACTCCAGCAGCCTCACCATCTCCTGTATTCGATGTCCCCCCACTTCAAAATGGCAACGGGGGGCTCTTTAAGTAAAGCTCATCAAACAAGCTTTAGTTAAAGCAGCCCCACCGCTATTTTGCAATGTGGGACACTGAATACACGAGATGCCCCGGGTGCTTCAACTACAGCAGCTCTCAGAGCTGCTCTAATTAAAAGGCCCCCTCACCAACTCCGGAGCACACTTAAAGACACCCCATGTGCTGACAAGGCCAGGCAGAAGTGGAGGGTCTCCCTTGAGGGACAAACAGACTGGGTGGAGAGCACTCACCAGCCCTCTCCTGTTGACTCTTTCATTATTTGCTGGACCACTAAACAGAGCCATGGGAGCAAGAAAGCCAAGTGAAAGGGAGCCCAACTGTAGCCCAGAGATGAGGTTGCAGACATAGAAGCAGTCCCAGGATCAAGGAGCTGAGCTATACTGCCCGGGCCACAAAGTAAGAACGTGAGTGTTGTACTGGGTCAGACCCAGGCCCTCTACCTTGCATCTCTCAATGGCAGAAAGTGAATGCTATGGGGAAGAGCATACATGCAGGGCTTATCCAGGCTGAGCTGCTCTCTCCCCTCTTCCCTTGTAGCCTCCAGGCTCTTCCTTGCTTGTTTGCAAGAGTCATGAGATGAGAGCTCTTGGTTGTCCAGTGGCCCATCTTCAACAGGACAGAGGTAGGAGATGCCCTCATATAGCCTCTTCTGTAGTCTGGTGATCAGGGTGTTCTCCTGGGGGACAGGAGCTATGGGTCTAGGTCCCTTCAGACAGAGAAGGGCTTAAAACTCAGCAGGCTGACTACCCGGGCAAGTGCTCTATTGGCACGCAGCTATCGTGTAAAAAGCAGCACTCCCGTCCGGTTCCCCAGACAGCTTTAAGCAGCTTAATCAGGGTGACAGGGAGATGTGGCAGAGTTGGAGACTGAACCTGCATTTCCTCAACTCTGATGCTTCCACTATAACTATCAGATTATCCTGCCTTAATCTTAGTGACTAAATAGGTTTTCATCAGAAAAAACTTAGGTACCCAAGAGATCTCCAGTATTTAAGCAAATCAGGTGTGGGTTCTGCAAACTGCTCTCCTTGGCTTGAGAACCTAAGTAGTGCCTCAGACCCAAGTTAGACACATAAGTGATTTTGCTGGAAATAAGGGGAAAAAAAACGATTGGCTTAAGCACATAACTTTAGGCACTTAAGACTAAACACTTTGGCCACAGGCTCTGCATGTGTCTAAAACTTCTACATTCAATGTATATTATAGTTTCCTGATTCAACAGTTGCAATTATAAAGGAAAGACAAAAAAAGTTACCATGCACTGTTTTCTGGAATCTCTTCACACTGACCATGTCATTTGTTAAATTAAAGGTTTTCCCTTCAGTTTCAACAGTAAATTCCCTGTAAAAGAGATAAGTAGTTTAGGGGTGATGGCAATGCATGCAAGTATTAGTCAGTGCAAGTTATTACTCAAGTAAGAGTCACTTCATTTGCTTCTGCTGGTCCTTAAATTCTGCTCTGGGGCTATAGGGCAAGTCAGAGCACACTCCAGTGATGCAAGGAAGAAATACAGGGACGTTTTATTTTTAAATATATTCATTTGTACCAGTATTTTTATTATGGCTGTAAAGTAACAATTTTCTTAATCATTACTGACACTAAAAAGTGTGACTAATAAATCAAGTTAAAATATGGAAGACTTGCAGGGTGAAAGAAATGAACTGCAGGAAAACCACAGGGATGCACTCACCACAGTCTCTCTCACATGCAGACACACAGACCCCCTTGTCATGACTACTTGGTTTTGATGGACTACTTGGATTTATGTTTTCATGGGATTCAAAAACTCACTACCAATTCACACTCCAAAACCTGATTTGTTAAAGCTTCCTAAATTAAGTGGGCAGGCTAAACACCTATTTCTTCACTGGGATGTAGCCGTCTCAGAAAAATGAACCAAAAAAAAAAAAATATCTACAACCATTTAAAGGCTAAAAACATCAGTCTTTACTTAGGCAGAAGTTAACACAGCTTTAAATATCCAGTTCATTACTTGGGGAGGTTCACTAGATTCCCTGCTAGCGAACTGCTTCTGTTATGCTAGCTTGGCTGCATTTTTGACACAACCACCGACATAAAAGGTTCACATAAATACAATTATCCAGAAAACAGGACTAACCACAGAAGCATCAGCATCAGCTGATGTTGTCAATGCACCCCACCTGATGATTCAGCCAAGGAGCTTCTCACATGAAGGCAAACAGCTTGGTAAAGGACAAGAATTTATTAAAGGGCAAATGTCTTCATTTAGACACAGTGTCCGGATGAGTTTATGGAGGCACGTTCTGACGAGGGGCATAAAAGTAAATATGGAGTATGAACTGCAACTATTATACACAATCAGTGCACCCAATTTCAAACACAAGCCTACTATATCCCATTGCACCTCTCTGGTGCCAGAGTAAACATAGGTACTTAATTGTGATCTTGTTTCACCCTGCTGGAGTTCCTAAAAAACCTAGTACTGCATCTATTTTTTTTTTTTACCATGCTGCCAGCCCAGCTTTAAAACTAAGTCACAAAAGCACAGTGAAGAGAAAGACCCACCCAGCTATTGCATTAGCAGGTTCTCAGGGACTCGAGCAGGGTGGCACTTCATCCTCTAATATGGGAAGCAGGATCTGGCCCCATATTGCCTTCTCCAAACTGAATAGTTAAAGTTATTAGGCTAATGTTCTTCTGCTTGGATTCCTGTCGGATGAGTGCATCAGCTGACAGTTTCTCCCTTTCACAAAGCCTGGTTTGAATGCCGTATAACGGTGCTTTTTTCTCCACTTTGTTACTTTTGCAGTGACTTTTAAAAGAAAGTGTCACCAGTACTGACAAAGTGCAAAGCTAAGCACACACTGTACAATACACCCATTATTCCCTACTGCTCTTTGCCTACAGTTTCAAATAATATAGGAGCAACAGATTGTTCACGATGATAAAACTACCTGGAAATATAACAACACTTCTTCGGATGGACTGGGAGGAAATCCTAATTCATCCCTTTGCACTAAACATAGTTCTGCCCATTGCCTCCATGTTCCAGCGTAGCAGTCACCCAAATGAAACCTGAATTCAGACTGATCGCTGCTGCCTTTACCTGCACAAAAAATGACCTTCTACCACACAGTAGTAGCAGTCTGTCAGAGAAATGGGGGACCACGTTTTAAAAGTAATGTTTCACTGCCTGTCAACACCAGCCAATTCTGGCAAGCTAATCAAGACCCCGTGCTCAGGGAAGTCACTAGCACTGACTGCTAAAAAGTGCAAAAGAGAGATTTGCTTGGGAGAATGCATCTACTTTAAAAACCAAAGCATAAAAATATTATGTTTATATGTCTTTATATAACTATATCTTGAGGGATACTCAAGAACTGCTCATTGGTCCACAGCCTGAACCCTACCAGCAATCAAGTTGTCACCAGCAGTTACTGAAAGTAGCTGCAGTTTAATCAAGCCGCACTTGGGGTATTCCTGACAAAAAATGACTGATGAGGGAAACTATTTAACACACATGCACATACTCACTCAGTCTCAACCAAAGGGAGATCATCAGCACTGGTGAAAACTTTCTTACCCTTTCTCATTCAGCAGCTTTTCCATCTCGGAGATGTAACACTCATCACAGATGGAAAGATATTCTAGCACCAGCTTTGCATCCTTCTTGTAAGCCTTGCCAATGGCTCCCTTATTTGCCTCGAATTGAACAACATTAACTGTTTTGTACAGAGTAGTTAAGGTATTTGAGACCAGAGAACACTACATTCTGACAGTCACTCTATGCAACAAATAAATAATTTCAGGACCCAAAAAACTTGGGATTGCATGGTCTCATTAAATTTAGTTATCGGCTCCTACTGGTTTAATGCATTTGCCTCTAAAGGAATAAGTTATCCCTATAAATACTGCGTATCAGCATATATTTGTGGCTAAGAGTCACAACTATAACTGGAACAAGTCCTGTCATCTGCGCTCTTTAGATCAGCGCAAATGAGACACCAACTGTGGTAGCTCCAGATACTGAGTTACCACATCTGAGCCATGCTCTTCAAGAAAAATGAATCATTTATGCAATGTATGGCTAAGAGATTAAGTGGATCCTGAAACAAACAGAAGGCAAGAAGCCAAGGAACAGGAGTTACTCCATTTTCACGCTGTATTTCCTAAGGTAAGCTACTCATGTGCTCAAATCTTTGCTGGGTCTGTCCTACAGGCATTACTGACACTGCTGTGAGCATCCTGACTTAACCTATGGAGCCATATGAAGGTCTAACTTTGGAGCTGTCCTGTTCAGGGGGGCAGCTTGATGCCAGGTCTGCACGGCTGTTAGGAAGACGTGCAGTACTCGAGAAGGATATGGGTTCTTTCAGAGGCTTCTCGGCTACAAGAGGAACTTTGGTGGCCCTGGCGTGGCAGGAGAGGTCATAGCAAGAGCGATCAGCACAACCAACAATCTCAATCCACCCCTAGAAAAACAAGAGCAGCAGCTTTTATCATCTCTCTCTGTTTGTTCATTTAACCATCAAGTGTGTTTATTCACTCTTAAACCCTCTATGTTCCCCAGGCTGATTTTCTAGCCAATTAGTTCAGTTATCATAAGCAGAGCTTGTTCCACGAGCGCTCCTCCGTCTGAAGGATCAACTCGCTTCAAGAGGAAACGACCCACCCTGTGCATGTTCACACAGGGCCATGTTTTCCACCAAAGCAGGTGATACTAGCTAGCCTTGCTTCAGCTAAGAATCTGACCTGCCTCTCCCTTTCTTTGCCTTCATATTCAAGTGCATGTACCACAGATAAGTAGGTGGGCATCTTTGGGGCTTTTATTACTTGCTGAGCTTGGGATAGACAAGTTGCCACTTTAGAAAGGTCAGACACCTGCTTAGGAGCTAGTGGATGCAACACAGTTAACAGAACGCCGAAGCATTTCTTTCCACGGAGAGCCAAACCCAGAAGTTCATACCCAGCCTGGAAATAAGACAAACACCTGCTGACTGAACTATCTAAGCCCTAAGCCTGCTAACAGTTCCCCTTGCATTTACCTCCGAGTCTGAAAACATCCCCAATGTCCCATTTGGCCTTCTTGCTATCAGCGATTCCAGAGACAGGGATCTGCCCTGGACAGACTTTGTAGTGTCTGCTGCAATCCCATCTGACTTTTTGGTCCCTTTTGTAATTCAGTTCCAAAGTAGTTGCAGCAGTTTGTAGTGCACCATAGCTCTGGCCTCTTAGGCTAAGCTGGGGTGAGAAAGCAGACCCAACTCATGGGAAAAACCCCTCTCTTCTCCCACCCAATTTCAGCTTTGTGGGTCAATCCTAATGCTCTGCCAGGTGGGGCTTCCCAGCCCTACCTAACTCACTCATAAGCGAGACCCCTGAGATGCCACCACTCAGTTCTCACCCCTGAAACTCTCCAGATTCTTAGGTGTAGCAATAAGCTCTCTAAAAATAAGTAATTGGAGAGCAGGGAAGTGTGGGTGGTGAGGGGAGGGCAATAAGGCCCTGCCATACCCCTAGCAAGCTTCCAGCTAGCTCACTGAAAAGGAAGGTGCTTAAGATTGCTTTTCTCCTTTTGTCTGTCAGATGTCTGCAGAGTGTACACAGTCCCAAAGTCAGAAAGCTATTTTACTTCCAGCAGTGGAGGAGCACAGCAGGAAGGGACTGAGCCTGGGAAAACAGCCCCAACAACAGCCGTCCCAGCAGGAGGGAGCAGGAAGGAAACTGCCTTAAGAACATTTCTCCAGCTGCACGTATCCTTCTGTACCAGTGTCACAGGAATACACAAGCTGAAAGGCAGTGGCCCCCCTCTCCTCTTAATTAAGGTAAAATTTATCCATATAAGATCAGCTTACACGAGGCCTTTCCATGACACACGTCTTACTACCAGGCACAGGTATAACTCTAGTGTAACAGCATTGTAGTTGCGAGTTACAATGTAAAGCCAAAGGACAACCAGCATATTTAACTTCCCCTTTGAATACAGGCTTGACACGATTAAGGAGTCCTGCCTTCTTTATGCCAGACTAGGAAGCATTTGGAGAAAGTGCGACCTATCACCCAAGCTCCAGCTGCTGGGTTTAATCTTGTTACTTACATACGAGGTTTTGGATTCTGCATCCCAGCAGTCACAGGCGTAATGAGCCATCTCATTCTCCATATGCTGTCGGAAGCGCAGTTTGTCTGGGGATATGCCAACCTTTACAAGGAAGAGGTAGATTCTGCCGATGAAATAACCTAAAACTGAGTTATTGATTACACCCTGGAGAGATGAGAAAAAGAATAGTAGGTTAACTCCCACAGCGTCAGAGCTAATATTTTGTGTATCAAGAGAGAAAGACACTTCATTTTGAAAGAATAATTTCTTGCCATCTTGTAAGGTAAGAGACCGGAGCACAATGAAGTAAAATTACATCTGTGTGGGTACTTGGAGTGAGATGGTGCCTCCCTTCTTTACTAGTAAGGGCCTGATTTTGACTTCCGTTATACTGGGACACATGGTGCACGTCCCTACAGGCAGGAACATGCATTTCCCTGGGAACAAATAGCAGTGGCACATATCCGTCCCTGGGCATGCCCCTGGGATTTCCTGGGGTCAAAAAAACCCAAACAAACAGTGAACACGTGCATGTGCAGCCCATGAAGATTGCAGCACCACAAACTGCACGTGCACTCTCATGTAGCCGCGCACACAGGGACTAAGATTTACACCCATACAACAGATGGGACTCTAACCTGAGGAGCAGACTGTAAAATTCAAGTCGTAAATGGCCATGTGACATTACCTGCTCAACAGCATCTCCCAGACACATCATGTGGGCAGACTGCCCACTGACCTGGGCTTTGGAAGAGTAGAGCAGGATGCGGAGATCTGCCACGTTTTGGAACTTGGGGTGCTGCTTCTCGTTGGGATCCACAAAGTGCTCGATTTCTGCCATGGTAAACTCCCTAAGCAGGACACAGACAGACACACTGAACTTTCAGTGTTTTCACCCTCTTCCCAGGAAAAACTTCCCCCACTCATATTGATTGTGGTTAGTCTGGTAAATGCAGACTGCTGATTTATAACTAGGGATCCTGGTTCCCCGCCCTGATTAAAAAAAACCAAACAACTGAATTCTCTGATATAAACCCCAAAATCTGTGATTAAAATGAAAAGTGCCCCACAGCCCCCCTGGCCCTGCTGGTGCCCCTCACTTCCCCCCATAGCCCCCTGCTACCCCCCAGCTGCCAGGGCTACATGGCCCAGGACCAGAGTCTACAGCCCCCAGCAGGAGGCTGCAGTGGGGTGTAGCCCAGCTCCCCCAAACTGCCTGCTGCGGCCTTGGGCAGGGGGGTTGGGGGTGGCTCCCACCACTGTGCACGCTCCTGGGGGGACCCCCCCCCCCCAAATTTGGGGGCGGGGGGGGGGGCCCGGGGCCCCCGGGGAGGGCCCCCCCCCCCCCCGATCTGTGTGCAGGGTGTGGGTGGGCTGCTCACTGCGGGCCCAGGCTCCCTACCCTGCTGCCCTCCCCTAGGGCCTCCACAGCCCAGCCGGTGCAACCCGGAGCTGCAGGGCACAGCGGGGCCACACAGCTCTTTGCTGCTGCAAGCTCTGCACTGCCCTGGTGCCACGGAGAGAAGAACGCGATTTACTGAAATACCCAAACCCCTTTCCTAAGTCACCTGTGTGTCCCTTGGACGTCTCCCATCCAAGCAACGTCCTTGTGCTCAATACCAATAACCTACCCAGATCCAGTTAGATTTCTTTATGGAAAGCTGGGAACAGCCCCATTAATACATTTTTAATCGTGAAATAGTGGAAGCTCCAGCATTTTTCCACCTTACAAGAGCAAGAGACACTTAAAAGCGTGGGATTTTCCAGGACTCAGACCCACCGGCTCCTAAACAAGTTTACTTATTTCATTTTCTTACTTGGCTACATACATTTACGGGCCTAACTAGCCTGATTACTAACAGTAGTTAGCACCTACGTCTCCCATTGACTTGAATGGAATTTCCAGATGCTGCACAGCTGTAAAAGCCAAACCTGCTATTCAGGTGCCTAAACCTTAGGCATTTGTGCTAGAAAAAACACTGGCTTTATTTTCCTAGAGATGGATCTTACTATCTTTTCAGAGGTTGTGTTTAACTCTAATAAAGACTCAGACAACTGACACATTAATCTAGCATCACGTATCAGACTTATTATTTTAACCACGACATGCCATTTCACAATCTTGGTTTAACACACACATTTATATATTGGACCTTTCTTAGTCTCACTGCCTGAATTGCTTTACACTAAATTAGCTTGATAAGAACTTAGGGGGGAAAAAAAAGAAAGTGCTTTGTATAATCATTAAGTTTGTCACAACATCAAGATATAATTTTCTGTGATAGAATAATAGCACAATTTCCTATAAATGTGCCAGAAGCCTATAATTTATGTTCTATTGGAAAAAGGGTTTCAGTGACAAATTGCCAGTTAACTCATGTGACAGAGCATGAGAAAGCTGAGGAAACCCCAATGAGATATCTAAGCGCCAAAAATGTCGCCACACTTTGCTTTTGGTACTTATGGCACTTTGATAATCAGACACCAGTTTTATAGCAGATAACGATGTGTATGAGCAGAGTAACGACACCAGGAATCCAGTACAAGAGGAGTTCATAAGATCAGAGTACGCTCCATATGAATGTGAGCTGGGATATCAAATCTACAAAAGAAGTAGGCATGCTACATAGAAGGAGATGGAGTCACTCGCTAATAAGGCGAAATGGGTTGGTTACTTTTTCACTGCTGAGTGAACCAGCCACTTCCATCCTAAAGTGATCAGCTGAAGGGTAAACTCCTCACAGTGGTCTTTAACCATATAGTCTCTCCTCCCACTGAAGTTTAAGGAAACTCAGGTACCATGGGGAAGGAGAAGGCCCTGTGGCATCTTTAAGAGAGAGCCTGGGGCTCCCTGTTACTTTAAGATCAGCCAGAAAGCCCTGCAGGCTAAGCAGCAGCTACAGGCTGCCAGGGCAACAGGCTATTGGGGTAATTAGCAGGCACCTGCAGGCAGCCAGGACATAGGCAGGGCCCTGGAAACATATAAGCCCAAGGCTGGGGCTGGCAGGGGAGTTGCTCCCTAGCAGCCACAGGAAAAGGAGCTCCTACCCAAAAGAGCCACCCAGGGATGCACACGGTAGCCCTGAGCCCTGCCAGGGATAGGCTTAAGGCCCAAGCTATTGTTGAGCCCAGAGAGGGACAGAGTGTAAGGGCACAGTCAAAGCGGGTCCAGGGGCCTGGCAAACACGGGCCAGGGGCTCAGCGACTAGAGAGGACAGATTGAAGCTAGTGCCTCAAGGCCAGGTCCAATGCAATGGGCCTAGAGAGATTAAAGGGGCAGAGGCTGTGGAGGCTAAAGCCCCAGAGAGAACAATGTTACAGTAACACCTGCAAGGCTTGGGGCACGGTGTAGGGGAGGATTCGGAGCCACAAAATTAGCCCTTAAGGCTTTGGGTGCCCTGCCAACCACACCTGACTCATAAGGCCCAGCAAGGGGGCTGAAGACTAGTGAGGACCAGTAGGGTGCCAGGGACCCTAGTGGGTGTTCGGTGGAACCGGGGCCACACACAGGTCCATGGGCACCCCCTATTAATCATCATTTCCATCAAGTCGTAGCAAGCAAGACAGAAAGGTGCTTTAGGGACAGAGCGGGCACAGCTGCAGAGCCACCAGGGGTGTCACAGCCACCCCAGGACCCCAACATGTTATACATCTTATCCAAGATATACAGCTCCTACCTGTTCCTTGTCTACGAAGTTGAGAGATAAACTCTGTTCCAAGGTCTAACTCTGTTTTGGTGGGAAGAATTTGTATTAAGAATGAAAACTCATCAGTGTTCTGAAGTTAGGGTTTTGCTACACAGGCAATGTCTATGGTACGAGTGCTATAGCAGCATATTGCCACGTTCCTTCAAACAAGACACCTGAAAATGAAATATTTCTTCTAAAAACAGTTTGAGACTAAAGTTAGAGTTAAACTCTTATATTCACTCTATATAAAGACTGCCCTCTTGTAAGAGTATGTTTGATGGGGGTTTTTTCTCCTTAAGAGTTGAAAATTTGGGCACAAATTCAAGAGTATAGTTTATTTACAGGAATTGAGTATGTCAGCAAAAGGCTCTTTGCATAGACCCAGCTATACTTGCAAAACTGCGCTCCACAAGGATATAATAAAGCCACTGAAACCCCACCACAACAACCAAAGCATTTTATATTAGGATAAGTGCAGTTTTGCAAACAGAAGCGCATCCAAACTAGGTACTTCCGCCGGCACAGCTCTGGCAGTCAAAGGCCACCTCTCAGCAACACAGCCATGCTAACAGAAGTCTGCAGCGAGTGAAGATGACCCCTAGATAGTCCTCATCAGGGAACTCCAACTATTTTCTGTGCAATTGTTTAGTGCCCTTTAGAAGCCACCCAACAGGAGCAGCAGGTAGGAGAAAAAAACATGTATAACACTGAAGCAAGAGGGAGCTTGGATTTTCACCGATGCAGCTGATCATTTGCTAGATATTCTGGAGGGGAAAGAAAGTCACAGTACCTGACTCTAATGAGGCCTGAACGGGGTGAGATCTCATTTCTGAAAGAGTTTCCAATCTGGGCAGCAGCAAAGGGCAGTTTGCCTTGATTGAATTCCAATAGACGCTTGAAGTTGAGGAAAATTCCCTGTGCAGTTTCTGGCCTCAGATAACTGAAGGGAAAGACAATGACAAAAATGAGTGGGGGAAAGTACACAGACAAAACAAATGGTCTCAGCACAAACTCAGCTTCCTCTTTTCATCACAACTCTTATTCCAGGCACAAAACCTTATGGCAACAGGCTCAACAGAAGCCAAAAATGCAGCATCCCATAGGAAACCAGAGCTTTAAAGACTCATTTTCCCTTGAGCAGCATGCAATAATGGAACTCTCTCACTTGATCAAAGACCCTGGCCTTGATGCATGCTACTTGGGTGAAATATACTGGTCCGGGACACACAAGAGGTTGGACTACATGGTCTAGCGAGACTTTCCCATCTCAGAAAGAGGCTGTGTTTAAGTCTCCAGCAAAGCAGGAAACACTCCAGTAACTATTCATTGTGGCTTTTTTCCTAAAGTTTCAGGGACTCGCATGCCCCTCTGGTGTTTGCATATGTAGAGGTTGGTGCTGGAGTTGCTTCACCACCTTGCAAACCCCACAGCAAGTTAAGACTTGCCTAAAGAAAGATGCGCACACAGACTGGGCTAGGCACCATCTCTCTCTAAGCTGTCTTAAGGCTTCTGATGCCAGGGCTCATGTAACCTACCAGCAACCAGCCCCTCCAGATCTGCTTATGTGCCCAATTCAACAGCCTTGTGTTCAAGCTGCACCAGACCATGTGTTTAGCTCCAAGTCCCTGGCCCACTGGCTATGTTGGTAGCCGTCACACTTGCATGATGGCAATGTGCATTGTGCAATTAATCTTACAATGGACTGCTGTTCTGTGCCATGTCACCACGTGGCAAGTCCTCTCCTACATACCCACAGAGATCATGACCACCAGTGGAACAATGCCATTTTCATACATGGAAGCAAGACACCAGGCTGCACATACCTGGAAGAACCCTGAGCTGCGATCCTTAATGCAGCACAGGAAGTCAACATCCACCAACCCTTGCCAACCTCAAACAAGCATGAAAGCAAAAGCTACAGGGGCTTCTGCAGCCTTGAACTTCCAACAGCAGCCCAGGGACAATACTGAGTAGGAAAGAATTGCAGGGTACATAAGATGAAATCCAGTATGTTTTGAATCCTGAGCATGGAAAACTCATGACCAAAAACAGAAGTTGCTACCTACCCTGGCATGTTTCCCCCAGGCCCAATAGAGGTCTTGAACATCAGGTTGAAAGACACAGGTGGGGACAGGTCATTCCCTGTTATAGGAGACTTCACGTTGTAATTCACAAACAGATCTGTAAGCTCTTGCTGACCATAGTTGTCCAGCTAGCAGGAAGATACAAGGACAGTTATTTCCATTATCAGAGTAACACAGCAGTAATTTGCACCACTGGCCTTCCTAAATGCAAGCTGCAGGAGCCTGCTGTTGGATTTTATCCCAGCATTTAAGTTGGGAGGTGGCTAAAGTGTGAAGCACAAATGGCAGAACAGATACTGGAAGATGATGGTCCAGCTTTAACACTGTGGGTTTGTGACTAAGGCACAGCACGGGGCCTTTCAAGGTCTGCCATCTGTACAGAAGGGCTGTCTCCCAGGAGGAGAGCAGGTGTGAAGCAGTAGAAGAGCGTGTCTAGGTTGCCACAGCCGCTTTTTTCCCCACACATTCCAGTCAGACCTTGGGAACAGCTGGAATGCAGAAAAACAGGGGCCATTGGGAGGGAGTAGAAAGAAGCCAGGCAGCATTTCTATAATGTGCTGCCTTTTGCTCCCTTTCCTTTTCCTACTCCAGTAATGACCTGGCGCATAAGGCCTAAAGCAATGTTAGACACCTCCACGTGTGACATATCTTGAAACCTCACCATGCTGCAGAGGAAATCTTCAGTAGAGGAGCAGGCTGCAACTGTAGGGAAGTTATAGCTGAAAGCTTGCCCAATTGTCTTAACAGCAATTTGTTGACCAGGGGCTTGCATGGACACAACAGTGCCAACCCCTCAAGACACTACTTCCTTCCCTCTCATAAGTCAGGGAAAGAGACTAGATTAAAGTGAGCTGCACAGCTCTTCCATACTGGGCATATCCTCTATCAGAGTGATTCTACTCTCCAGTGAAAACCTAGAAGACCTTATGATTGAACAGAGCTTTTCCACCTTTAACATGTCAGAGAGACTCCAAACTGGGATACAAAGAGATGCAAAGAACCCATGTACGTTCCTAGAGCTGCGAGAGCAGCACCAGCTTTATTATTTACTTCCCACAACAGCAAGGGGCGGCACTACTGTAGGAGAGTTTCCTTAATATAAACTATTATAAAAAATGGGCAAAGTTCACTGCCATACTGTGGAAAAGCTATTGATGGCAGCTCTACAATGCAATACAGTACTCTAGCTGCTGGGTTTTCGTTTGTAGTCATGTGCCAGTACTCTATCTGAGCACGCAGTCTGCTCTGCATGTGGCTTTGGAAGTACTTACCCTAAAGGTTATGGGAAAGAGCTCTAAGAACAACAAAATGAAGGCAGATCTCTCTGTGCAGATGCCCAGGAATGTCAGCCTTTAGCACAAGCCATTCTAGTGGTAAACAAAGAAATCCACACTGGGAATTTTATACAGAGGCACAAGTCCCAAGAGTGTAACAGCAGAAGCCTATCTACATGTTTTGATCCAATATAGCTAAAATATCTCCTTTTTTGAGTATCTTTTGCCCTTTGCATCATGCTGAGATGGCTGAGCTTTGCACACGGTAAAGGCTCAATCTGAGATGGGGCGCTCCTCACTCAAAGAGCAGAGCAAAGGAGCTCCAGGGACAGAACTGCAACCTAGCATCCACCTGACCCAAGTCCCTCTGAAGTGCAACTTTCCTTATATGTAGGGATAACTTTTTACTCCTTCTATTTTGAGTCAGTCTAGGACATTTCCATCACATCACCTTTTGCTATCAAGTTTTCAGCCAACCCTAATCACACTGACCTGTGTTAAGACATTTTCCATTTCTGCCTTCTTCTCAGCTGTACATTTCTTGTCAGACATCAGCTTCTGCAAGTGAGCTGCAAGCACAGGAAGAAACGAATCAGAGGACATTGTTGAGCGAAGACACTGAACCATTCTCACCCTAAAATAATCCGAAGTGCTATACAGCATACGTACATGCACGTATGCATTTCCAGAGGACATTCAGCAGGCCAGCTAGAGTCAATCAGTGTAAACCCACAGAAGTCAATGGACTGATGCAGATATACAATAGTTGAAAACCCAGATCAACATTTCTAGTTTGTCATATAACATGCCAGAGGGGAAAAAACAATCTCTTTATCTAGTTTCCTGACGAGCAATCCAATTTCAATATACCACATATTACCTTTGCAATCCTTTCCTTGCATGTATTCTAAACCCAGTATTTGTAATAGATAAGAAGCTTGGAAGTGAATTCTGTTTCCCTACTGGAAAAGGCTGTCCTTCAATTTTGTACTTGCACCTACAGATGAACTCATTCATTATTGCAGGGCTCTCTTTTTGAAGTCTAACATGCCTTCTTGGGGCAGATCATCAGTGGGCAGTATGTCCAAGTTCTCCAACTTCAAAGCACAGATCTCCATCATTTGGGCAAAATATTCAGTCCATTAGCTCATTGTAACACTAAGTGATTCCCTTTGTGAAACTGCCAGAGCAACTCTGGGCTGGTATGGTCCATAAAGGAAGCCTAACCACACCTTGTCATGCATCCATAGATGCATCTCGAGCAGGTCCAAGGAGGTGATCCTCCCCCTCTATGCGACACTGGTCAGGCCGCAGCTGGAGTACTGTGTCCAGTTCTGGGTGCCGCACTTCAAGAGGGATGTGGACAGCATGGAGAGGGTCCAGAGGAGGCCACTCGCATGGTCACGGGGCAGCAGGGCAGGCCCTATGGAGGAGAGACTATAGGACCATAACCTGTTCAGCCTCCACAAAAGAATGCTGAGAGGGGATCTGGTGGCCACCTACAAACTTGCCAAGGGGGACCAGCAGGCTATGGGAGAGTCCCTGTTCCCCCAAGCACTACTGGGAGTTACAAGGAATAACAGCCATAAGCTGACTGAGAGTAGGTTCAGGCTAGACATCAGGAGGCGCTACTTCACTGTCAGGGCGGCTAGGAACTGGAACCAGCTTCCTAGGGAAGTGGTGCTGTCTTCTACCCTGGGGGGGTCTTCAAAAGGAGGCTAGACAATCACCTTGCTAGAGTTGTTTGACCCCAGCACTCTTTTCTGCCCACGGCAGAGGGTCAAACTTGTTGATCTGCTCAGGTCCCTTCCAACCCTACCAACTATGAAACTAAGGAAGAGAAAAATTAAGTTAAATATTATAAAGACTACTTCTAAAGGCTTTTATATATATATATAAAATAAATATATATATTAAACCACAGAATATTTTCCAAGTAAAACACTGGAAGCCCACCTGGCATGAGCCAGACTACGAATATTTTGTTTGGCAAGGTGCTGAGTAAGAAGCAGGCCTGTTCCCAGTGTCACTGCTAGGATTCCTGAACAAAAAGACATAATCAATGGAAAAAGTATTGCGTGAACTTTCCAGCCCTGAGAAAATGCTTAGGGCACACATTCAATATACCCCAAGCAAACAAAATTCTGGGCCTATTAAGCTCAAATAACTTTATAACAGACTTCTCTGTGAGAGGGGCGACAGTGTTTTATAACTGAATCAGTATTCAATGTAATGAGAGACCTGAGAAAAAAAAAATGCAGGTTTTATCTAAAGCCAACTTAATAAGTCTGAAGTATGGTCTTGAGGGACTACATTTGTCAGGAAAGAAAACGGGCTAGACCACTGCATCACATGATCTTAGCACATACGAGACCTGAAAAGATAAATTTTAATATAAAAACAGAATTCTGATTTTGTTATCACTATCGAATAAAGGTTAATCTAATGCAAAGGTCCCATGCATCGGTTAAGATTTCAATTGTCTTAGTTGTCTTAGTCATTGGGATGAATGTCACCTGTGCTGAACAACAGCTAGTAAATCTCTTGCAAGTTAACATCTAATCTCTTCTATCCCTTTGTAAAGCAGGACATATTCCCTAACAGCGCATAAACTACTGACAAGGATCTCTCAGCCAGCACTGGTTTGCGAACAGGAAACGCACCTTTCAAGAGATGATCAGCACGAAAGCACTCCCCACTCTTCACATCTTTCACCATGAAGTCAGCAAACTTGTCTACGTGGCCAGAGGTCCTAGAATAGGAGACACCACATTTATATTCACAAAACTTTACCACTGAACAGCAAATAGTATGTCAGCCCACAGCAGACTGACATTATGGAGCTATCCTCCAAATCAAGGATCTAAAAATGCAGATTCATTCTTCCTTCAATTTACGGTTTATATTAAGTAGCAATCATTTGTGACCATCCTGATACTTCAGAAAAGATGGGTACTTCCTCACTTTAAGGCTCATGCTCTAAGTCAACAAAATAGTGGCATGTTATCTCCCTTGCTCACCAACTCATTACTGGAGCACGCTAAGGATCCAACTGCGAGGGGAAGTCAGTGGTACAGGTGGTTATAACCCCCCCACCCCCCCCC